AAAGTGTAGGCACAAGAGAAGGTTCAGGAAAAAGAAAACCATAGACATAGACACAGCAGGGAGGCCAAACTCAACCACAGAGCAGCTCTGGCAGTGCAGAAACCCTGCACAATGCCATGCAATGAGTAAGTCCCCTTGGTAACTGGCTGATGTTTATAAAGAACTGAAAGTGCAGAGTTTTAAGAGATGAAAGCTAGTAAAATTGCTTTCACTTTAAAGAGCCAGTTTGTAAGTGGCTGTGTGTGTATTACATGGTAGTACATTGTTTACAACTCTCCAGTGAACTAGATGTGGTTTCAGTCTCAACTCTAGCTCAGTGACTTAGAACTAAGCTATTTCACTCTTTAAGTTTCAGGGCCCCTATCTGAAAAATGGGGCTTCTACCTATCTCATAGATTCTAGAATTTCCTGCAATAATGCTCCACACACCCACTGGATTTTCTTCCATAGCATTCTCCTTTTTTCCTTCTTCCCTCTTCCTCCCTCCCTCCCTTCCTTCCTTCCCTTCTTCCTTCCACAGTCACCACCTTCATTTCTCATTTACTTTCATTCTCTCCCCACTAAAATATAAGCCCTGTGCTAGCAGGGATTCTTCTGTGATGAACTGCTAAATCCCTGATGCCTTGACTAGCATCTGGCTGCATAGTAGTTACTCAATAAATACATATTGCATGGACGAATGAGTGCAAAAGCAGCAAGCAGCACAGTGCTGGACATGAAGGGTTTGGTGTTAGTGGTGGCATGCTCACTAACTCCTACTTGGAGAAAAGCCATTACCAGGGACCATGATCAGAGTCAGTGCATGTCATTCCAGGGCCTCATTCCCTTTAAGGCCCAAAACCCAGTTTGTGCCTGTACAAGGTACTGCCCATTGCTGGAGAATGAGGGATCTGATCTTCCTATTCTGGGAACAGGTGAGTCATAGGTGGGGAGAAGCTGAATGAAGGAGCATGTGTGGGGAGGAATCAGCAGCAGGATTACCAGATCTCCTGGACAGCTCCCAGGAACCCTTCTCTTGAGAAGCCAATAAGGACATCAAAGAATTCCCTGAGGCCCCACACCTGCACAGGGCCTTATACCCTGTGCTGCCAAGGCAGGGTGTGCTGGTGGGAGGAACCCAGCTTCTCTGACCACAACTGATGTCTTCAAGTCACAGCCAGCGAATGTTTAGAAAATGAAAGAAAAAGTAGAGACCCTGAGTCGCTTTATCAAGCTCTGCATTTGCAGTGGCGGAAATGATACTGAAATCTTTCATCTTCAAAGTGTGTCACACCATGAACCATCAAACTAACAAGACTTAGCTATGTGTGGCTGCTTAGGACAAATGTGTGATTCAGTTGGAAAAGTCTCCACTTTCCAACAGCCTGCTGACTGGACACGCTCTGAAGGAAAAGTCTGCTATCAAAACATAAATCTAAACTGAAACCAAAATAGCAAACACCAGCATGCATTAATTGGACCCATTTATTTGTGCCGAAACCAACACTCCCTTCATTCCTTAGCCCCAGGGACTTGCTCTTTGTTGTTGCTGCTCGTTTCATTTCCCCCTTTTCATCTTTCAGTGCATCCTTCCAAGATTCTCGGCATGTCCTTCAGATTCCAGACTGTCTTATGGAAAGCATATGTCTTAGGGAACAGCTTGTTCTAGGCTGAAGCTCAGGAGCCAGTTGTATTTCTGTTCCAGAATTAAGTGTGAAACAACAGTTGTTTGCAGGACTGGGAGTAATCTCTGGGTCAGTTACTTCAGCTAGAAATCCATGCATAAAACAGTAGGAAAAGCCAGGAGCTGGTGGCTCACGTGTATAGTCCAAGTGACTCAGGAGACAGATCAGGAGGATGGCAGTTTGAAGCCAGCCCAAGCAAATAGTTCTTAAGATCCTATTTTGAGAAAAACCCATTAGAAAAAAAGTGCTGGTGGAATGGCTCAAGGTGTGGGCTCTGAGTTCAAATCCCAGCACCACAAAAAAAAAGCAGTGGGAGAGACCTCTTTAAGAGGAGAAGGACATATCCCATTAATCCATGCACCTCACTCGCTCATCTGTTTTCTTCACACAACACTTTCTGAAAGTTTATCATGTGCTAGGTATTATGTTCAGCACCAAAAATGCCAAGGTGAGTGCTCTGTCCTGGCCTTCAGTTGCTCAGAGTCTGGGAAAGAGATGGTTATGTCAGGCAGCAATCAAGCTTACCATACTCCATTTATGGGGCAGGAGCTGAGAGATGGCTGGGGAGAACTCAGAGGAGGAGCTGCTTTAAGAGAGCATAAGAAGAAGGGAAGCAGAGAAGGAGGCAAGGCACTCCACATGAGGAAGCTGCAAATGCTACTAAGACAATCTGATCTGGTGACAGGACCCAAACTAGTAACTGAAATGCCAAGCCAACCCCACTGTGGCCCACCAGTGCCTGTGGATGCATGTCTTTCCTATCAATAGGGAAAACTCCCAGGTGCAGAGAAAATCAAAGTATGATGTAGAGGGTAAGAAGTCAGGGTGGTGGTTATCTGCTGAGAGCTAGCAGCAGCAGGGGGCCTGAGAGGGTCTCTGGAGGCTGGTTTTCTGTTTGTTGATCTGGGTGCAGCTCACACAGATTTGTTTACTCTGTGAAACTAAATCAAGCTGTACATTTGTGATAAATTCACTTTTCAGTGCTTGTGTACAATAAAATGTCATATGTTCAATTAAGTATTCAAAAAGACAAGCATGCATTTGGGCACAGCACAAGTCATCATGAGTGGCTCCAGCAAATAGTGTGTGTGGAAGAGATGAAATGGAGACACAAACAAAAGCCATGTACAATAAGCCTTATATACTGGAGTTTGAACTTTCTCCTCAGAACAATAAGACTGTGGTGTTTAGGACTGATGTGCTTGGTTCCATGACTTAGTTACTTCAATTTCTCATCTGCAAAATGCATTACTAATGTGTTTCCCTTCTAAGGATATTTTGAGAAATATAGTTAGCATACTTACTAGAGTCAATACTAAATATCAGTATTTTAGGAAGTTTACTAGGCAGAAATGAGGATGGGGACTGGCCATCCCAGGGATGGGGAGAGAAAGTAGATTATAATAGTGATCTAGTGATGGTACAGGGGCAGTGGAGGACAAGGAGATATCAATAATGGTGAGGGGTAGAATGGGCAGGACTTAACCTGGGAAATGAAAGAGGTAGCAGAGTCTAAGAGAACTTTTGTGTGTATGGCTGTGAGGTTGGTGATGCTGTTAGAAAGTCAAGAGAATTAGGAGAAGGTAGCATATCATATTTGAAGTCTGTTGAGTCTAGGATCTAGAGAGGCATCCAGCTGGTGATGTGCATGTTGCTTGATGGAGAGGCTTGAGTTGAAGTGATAGACGTGGGTAGTATACAAAAGGTTGTCAAGGGCAGGTGAGACAACAAAGTCCCTTAGGGATGGCGTGTTGAGTGAGAAGAGCAAGAGGCCAAGGACAGAGCCCTAAGCAATGTCAACATGTAAGGAGGCAGACCAAGAAAAGGAACCAACAAAGAAATTAGAGAAGACACAAAATCAAAAAGTAGAAGGAAGAACCAAGAAGGGTGTCATCAACTGTGACAAATGCCACAAATGAAGCCAAAAAATATCCATTGACTCCTACACAATAAACTCCTACACTGAGGCCATCGGTGACCTCAGTGAGTGATGTCAGCAATTCCAGGGGATAGTGGGAGAGCAGCAGGGTTGCTGAGGGTATATATTAGAAGAAAGCCGTTAACAGGTGCAGAGGAAGGAGGGATCCAGAGCAGGATGCCGAAGGCAAGGGAGGAGTCGAGAATCTTTTTCCAAAGATGAATTTTCCAGTATTTGCGACTATTTATTTTGTCACGTACTTATTTTTGCCACTTACTCTTTCCTTCCCTCCTTCCTTCTTCCCTCCTTCCATTCCATCCTTTCTTCGTTTCTTCCTTCTTGGCTTTGTTGTGACGTGCTATCCCATTCCACTATTCCTCAGACAGCCTGTGCATTCGTGAACAAGAGTGGATACACTCACTGTCTATGATCCCTCCTGTTAGAGGTGAAGCCTATTTCTCCCACCGATGGCTTCAGTGGCCATGCTAGCAGCGCACTTCTTGCAGTGATTCCCAGCATGCTCTCATGCCAACTGAGCCTCAAGTTGCTGGTGACTGCTCATCTCTAGAACTTGGCCCACACCATTTCTCCTTCCCATTCCTCATGGAGAACACCTCTGGCTTCCAGATAGCACTTAAAACTTATGATCTTCAGGAGCCTTCTCTTGTTCCCTTAGTGTCCTTACCACTAAGTCTGGTTATGCATGCTTGTGCATTTCCTGAGAGGTCACTGAGTCTTCATTTTGTAATATAATGGCACACTGACTCCTTGGTGAAATCATAAGGAATTGGGAAGAATCTCTACAGCATCTAATGCAAGGTCCACACACTCTAAGTCGTCAGGTAAGGCTGCTTGGAAAAAGTAATGGGCCAGATCATAATCTCCTTAAAGGTGGCCCTGTCTCCTCCATCCTTGTACATCTTCCACCCTCACCTGCCCAGCTCTGACTGGATTAAGTTTGCAGACATTTATGGAGCACCTGTTCTGTGCTGGAAAAGTTAAGCGCAGAGGTCAGCAGGGAACTAGACAAACTCAGGCCTGCCCTGGTAGAGTCTATTCTAGCAAAGGAAACAGCCAAGAAAGAAGCAAACACACAAAAACCATATCCCCAGGAAATAAGCACAGAGCCATGGGGCAGGGAAGGGCAGCAGGTTGATGCTGAGGCATGCACAGTGATGAGCAGTAAGTTGTCCTTGGCTTTTCTCACTTAGTATCCCAGCACTTTGAATGCTCGGTTCCATAAAGTCTTCGTGTAAAGGTTGTACTGAGGGGCCAAATGGGCATATTCTTGGCCAGTGAAATATCAAAGCACTAGTACACCTACTGGAAAATAAACCATCGGGCTCCAAGGCTCACTCATCCTACCCACATGAGGCAGGCCTGGGCCACCATCTGAACTGTACTGTTCTGTTTTGCAGGTGAGCCGGCCTCATCCCAGTGACCACCCCCTGCTCATCCTCTTCGTGGTTGGTGGCATCACAGTGTCTGAAGCCAAAATGGTCAAAGATCTTGTGGCATCCTTGAAGCCAGGAGCCCAGGTACTGAATCGTGAGTGATGTGAGCACAAGTCCAAGGGAGAGTCCTACAAGACCCCTCTCTTCTGGTCTCCCCACCCTGGCTTCCTTCTGTCCTATCTGCTGCTATCTACCTTCCCCAGGCCCCCCATACTGGTGCAGTGCCTTTGATCCCTGTGGTAGAGGACTCATCACTTTGGTAAAGTTCATCCTGACAGGTTAAACTCACTCATGGAACAAATGAGCCCTAAGTGGGGCTTCTGTTATTTGCAAAATAAACTGCTCTCCAGGTGGGTGGGCTGGGGCAGGGTGAGGGACAGAGGAGAGCTCTCCATTCCCACCCCACTCACCATTCCCAGACCTTGCCACCTATTCATGACTATTTAGGGAAGGTACTCTTTTGAGTGCCTGACTAATCATTCAGAGTGACTGCCTAGTCACTCAAGAATTCATCCACTTTCCAGGCTCCAGATAATTGAGGATGACACCAGGGATCTCCTCCCAACTGTGTGACAGTCGGGCACAGGGCATTATCAAGATAATGACTCCTGTGTTGCTTCTTCCTCACTCCCTCTTGCCAGGTCCCATACCATCTCCCAAGAGCCCTGTGGCTCATGGCTAAGAACAGAGACCTTTTGATTTTACAAGCCTGAGTTCCCATCCTTCTCTGCCTTTGACCAGCCAGGAGATCCCAGATAGAAAGGTCCTCATCTTCCTCTCTGAGGAGACAGGGTGGTGGCTGTGAATCGACACTCAGCTGAGGCTGGAGAGTACACTTAACACAGCCGGGCTCACAGCTGTGTTGGAGACTATAGTTACTCTCAATCCTTTTGGAGCAGTCACCGGCCTGCTCTGCAGAAGGGTGGAGGCTCATGCCTGAGAGAGTAAATTCTGGGAAAGAAGGGCCCATGCCTCTGCAGACTTCATCCTGGCTGGTGACGCAGAGCCTATAACTCAGTAAGGTTTAAAACTCTGGCTTTTGGGTCCCCAGACATACCCTAGGACAGGGACACAAGGGCAGCTGGTTTTCTTGGGGGATGATCCCAATGAACAAGTGGTGGAATAAGAAGATAAGAAGGGAGAAAGTCCAGAACAAGTGAACTGTTGGGCTGGTTCCCACTGTGGGCATCTGAGGCATGGTCTTTCTAGGGTCCTGAGGAGCTGGGTGTGACAAGTCTCAGCATTGTCATACACCAGAGGACAGGGAGCCTGGACATCTCCCCTCAACCCTCATTCCCCTGGCCAAGACACTTCTGGGGCATTGGCTTCCCAGCACCCAGAGGTTGCAACTTTGGGCTTTTCATGGTTTGCAAAAGCAAAAAAGTTACAGGGCTTCTGGCAGGACCCTGGCTAGTGCCAGGACTGTCCACACAGCTCACAAAAACCAGCTGGGTGGGAGCAGTGAGATTACAGCCCCAGTCCTGTAGCCCTGTGTCCTGCCTCCACCCGATTTTCTGCATGTCCACACAGCCAGCTAGGAGAGGCCTGTTCTCCCTTTTTGTGATGCCTCACCTGTTGCTCCAGGCCCTTCCTGTATCTCTGCTGGCATCCAAAACCCACACTATGCAGTGAAGCCCTGGTCTGCTCACTGATTGGTCCATATCTGCTAACCTAGTCTCCTTAACCAAACACGGATTCCCTGAGGACAAAGGTTAGGGCTACCCAGGCTTGTGCACATGGCAAGAGCTCAGTCAGCCTAGTGGTTTACTGGATTTGTTGACTCCAAGATACCAGATTTGTTAGGAGCAGTCTGTGTGGTTGAGTGACTGGGTTACCTGGTGAAGTCAAGAGGGCATGGTAGGGAATGGAAATGGGGTATTTAGGGAACTATAGCAGGTTCTTGAGCTGGGGGGTAGCCAGTCATTGGCTGTAACCATTTTTTCTTTTACTATCACCTGTTATGGTCATAGTTGGTGACATAAATTGGTAAGTCTAGCCTCATTTAGTACCCTCTGTCGTCAGTTAAGGATCTATTTAATGAGCTATTGCCTCTTTGAGCAAACTGGAAAGCATCCTTTTTCTTGCTATATATAACATAGTGAACCAAATTCTTAGGTCTTCAGAACAGGAATGCATTGTCATAGCCTGACAGACATAGCTATCCTCACTCTAAAAGGATAAAGTGCCAACAGTTTAAAGCCCTGTGGCTGAATTGGACCACAGAGACTGGAACCTGTGTGACTTTGCTGCAGGACTGAACCTGCACCCAGACTTCTGCAGACAGAGCCCCTCAAGGACTTCCGGGGGGAAGGAACAACCTCAAGGTTACTTTTCCCTTTGTTCAAAAAGCTCCCAGAAAAGTTCACAGGCCCTAGGAGGAACCCCAAGGCACCAGGGAAAACAGAGGAGGGCATTTATCACAGCACCCTTGCCTCAAGCTAGTGAGAGCAGGACAATTAACTGCATGCTGCTGGACTAACACCACCCAAGGTGCTGCCCTTGCTTAGCCTGACAGACACAGCTGCCCTGGCCTGCAGTGAACACAGAGTTTGGCCTTCTGCTTTTAGAAGTGCCCTAAACTCAGGCTTTGCTGTCTGAGCTATACACAAAGTGACATGTGTACCACCAATTTCGTTCTTTGCTTAGGCTGACTTCTGCTGGGAGCCCATGTGGCCTAATTGAAGGGGTAGGGTCATGGGAATCTTCATCCTGGAAGACCATTTGAAGGCACACCTGGTAAATGAGAGAAACTCTGACTTGATCTTCAGTGTAAACAGGGCAGATGCATGCAGCAAACACTTCTGTTCATTCCACTTAGTATTGCCTGTCTCCCTGAATGAGTCCTTGCCCCTCCCACTGCAACCTTCTCCAGTCGTGGGGTGGGGGTCTTCATCTGAGGCCTGTTTCCCCCAAATTCCTCCGGAACTGCCACTCAGCGCACTCACTCTTCAACGCTGTGTGTAGCAGTGCCACACAGGACTGAAAGCAAACATGGCTTGTCATGTGGAACTCGTTCCACATGACAGCTCAGTAGACATGTGAAGCAGGTCCCCATATCCTCCCCAACTTTTCAGTTCCTACTGCCACCCCACTCTCACCTTGTGATGTGGATCCAAAGCCCCTGCTGTCCTCAGCCTCATTTTGTCTCCCTCTTTCATGCATAGTTGCAACTGAAAACCATCCCTTGAGGTGGACTGATGAGTGCAGAGAAGTTGGGGTATCTCCCCCTCATCATCCTATAGTGGACTATAAAGCTCTGTGTGACCTCGCCCTGCCTCCCTTTGAGCTTCTCTTCTTGCCCCACATTTTCCTGCTTACTCCCCTCCAGCCTCAGACTTTGCATTTTTGGACTATTTAGTGGAGATGCATGAATATTCATTGAATGTCCAGTGCTAAATACTGGAAACTAATATTATTGCAGTGTAAAAGAGAAGTGGCTTTTTGTTTTTGGCTTGTTTTTTTTTTTTTTGAAACAGGTTCTCACCTTGTGCCCAGGCTGGCTGCAAACTCACACTCTTCCTGCCTGAGCCTCCCAAATGCTGTGATTGCAGACATGCACCACCACACCTGACTTCACACCCATCTGCTGATTCATATTTAAAGCTACTTTGTCTTTTGCTTCTATTCCTATTACCCTGCCTTCCCTATTCTGTCTTTGCCAGTGGTTTTTGGACCTAAGAATAGGCTATTATGATCATCTCTGTTAAACTGGATTCACTGATTATTTGACAAATACTTTCAGAGCATCCACTCCATGGCCAGCTTGGTTCTCCATGCTGAGGGTACAGCAGTGGCCACACTGGACTCAGTCCTGCTTTCATGGAGGCTGACAAGTCAGTGGGCACAGGACACAGGAGCAGTGGTAGGGAAACCTTTAGACAGCACCTGCTCCTCAGGCAGGGGAGGCTTTGCATCTGAGATATGAAGAGCATTTAGGGATCCGCTATTCAAGGAAACCGATGGAATATTCTTAAGGTACCTGCAGAAACACAGGGAGCCAGACTACATTCCCACCTGCAGGTCATAGGTCTGCCGTAACTCTAAAATGGGCTCAAATTTACTCTCACTGCCTGCGGTGGCTGGCCGTGTGCTGATGAGAGAAAGTAGGCAAGGTAAAGATCCTCCTTCCTGACTACAAAAACGTCCTCTTTCCTTGACTTGACCAAAGAGGTTGACTTCCCAGTCCATCCCAAACAGCTGCAAGAATGAGGTGGGACTCTTCCCAGCTCTCCCTTCTTGTGATGCACCTGTGTGAGGCACCAGCCCATCTCCTCACTTCGCTCACCACATGGTGAATGCCGTAGCTGGATGGTGGCAGTGAGGCCATGACCTGTGGCTGTGAAAAGAAAATAATGGGGAGGAGTTCTCTCAGAAAACACAGGGAATGGCCAGCTCAGGAAGAAGAGGACGGCCAAGCTAGCAAATTGCCCTGCCATCCACTGTTCTTTATAGATGAGCCTATGCCTGTCACTTACCCACATACTCATGCACGTCTACACTTTTGGAGTTAAACAGTTAATGAGGACATATTTAAAAAAAAATAGATCCAAAAATATACACACAACTCTGCATATGTTAGGGGTTCAAAGAGACCTAAATCCTGCTCCAGTTTATTTTAAAGTTGATGAGAACCCCAGGAAGGGAGATCAATGACTTTTACACCACCAACAACAACAAATAAGAAGGGACAAAGGTGAAAAGATGACTTGAAGTTTTACTCCTCTGTTTTCCAAAGAGCCTGAGGCCTGACCTGGCACTGAGGTAACATATAAAGAGGTCAAATACTTCACAGGGAGCTTTCCAGAAAGAATAATCCATTGCTTCCTGGTTTAATGAGCTAAACCTTTTATGTTAACACATATGTGAGTGTGTGTGCAAGCAGGATTAGACAGTGCCTCAGACATCTTATGTGTTCAAAAAAGCAGTGTTTCAAATGGATGAATATGCATGTTGGCACCTGACCCTATGTGGGATACTTCTGGAAATTTAAAAGTAGGATACTTCTCTCAGATTTAAAAGAAAGGAAGAAAGAAAATTTACTCGCTGCTCGTTTTGCTTCTCAATGTTAGAGATTGGAAGGTTAT